CCCACTTCTATAAATCGAAAGGAGACTGCGACCAAAACAGAGGCCACAACATCTTGGTCTTCATATCTTCTTTTTTGGTTTTGTTTGTTGGTGAATTTTGCATAATTCATGCTTTCTTGCTCAGTCGATATCCGTCATGGCGAGACAGATAAAAGCTCAACTCGAATGGATCGGGCTCGCAGAAAACAAGTCGAGATATGCTTTGCACAATACAGAAAGCACAAGTAACTTATCATTTCATGTACAGAGTAGCTAATTTACGGTAGGTCGACATCAATTTTCAGCCATTCACTTTCAATATGTCATTAGATTTCCAGAGATCATTTGTTTAGAACTGAAATGTAAATAAAAAATATCGTTTGCACTATTTTTATATCCTCGTGACGTTTGTTAAGGAGGCCTTCATTTCGTATGAAAGTGCATTAAGAAGAGCTTCGAGTAAAGGCCTCATCAGAAGACGACGGCTGAATCGGGTTTTACACAGCCGTTTGGCTTTAATACGAACTTCAGGTTGACATTTTCCCTCGCTTTGGGAGAAAACGGGTTGAGCTTTCGTTCACCAAATGATGGACATCATCGGAGCTGGAACTGACGCTTGTAAAAGTCCCACCTTAACAGGACAAAATTCAGAAGACCATCTTACTACTTATATAGACTAAAGTAAGCAAAAGGAATATAAAAATATATGATGGTTTGGCCAATTATCTTCCATATTAGTCCTGTAACTTTTTTCCAAATTCTTGCGTGTGTGCGTGTGTTAATTTCAATAAGCAATAACTGTCCTAAATCAGAGCGATCAAAAAGGCTAATGTCAGGCTCTGGCCATAAAGGTTGAATGACCAAAGAAAAAGAAAAAGTCCTGACGGAGACTGCACAAGTCCGTGGAAAAGTATGATTGTGATAATTAGATGTAAACTTGTAAGTGTGTAAGTCAAGTTACGAAACCACTTGTCCCAACCTTTCAGTCTGGGTTCATTAAGGTTCAACCAGCCAATGAAAGGCAAGACTGGAGCTGCGTAATCTGGTACGTCCAGTTTGGTTGATGAGCTCAATTTAACATGTTGGACGAGTGCGAGTGAAGTTGGAAGCATCACTGAGCAGACAAGTTGAGTCGCCCTCTTACAAGCTTACATCTCATTATCTCAATCATACTTTCACACGAAATTAAGCAGTCTCGGTCAGGACTTTTTA